AAAATAACTCTTGTAAAATATGTGCTCCAACTGATTTTGGACATTTCTCAAGAATGGGGAAGGAGAGATGAGAGGAAAAAGTGTATTTCCTCTTGCTGGAAATGTGTTTCTTCAGCAGCTAGAGACATGAAATAAAATATTTCCCCAGATGCGCATGCTCAGAACAATTGAGAAAGTTTGAGCTGGGGAGAGTTTTTGTTGCTCCAGCTTTCCTCAAGATGGTTTGATTGAGTTTGTTGCAGTACTGCCACTGAGTCACTGTTTTTTCGTTTTGTAGCAGCTGATACAAATTGTTTAGCTCAGGATTACTGATGATATTCCAGCTGTTGGAGACTTCATGTCTTCTGTACAATTACTTGCTAAGACTAAATTGGTCTTAGAAATATTTGAGTCACTCTGGTGGGACACACTGTGTTTCTTGCACGTTAAGCTTAGAAATGTAATTTTTCAATGCAGCTAGGTTTAAAAAAAAAAAGAGAAGTGATTATTGCCAATATAGAAAATGAACAACAGCATGTAATGGATTCTGTTAACAATCTATATATGAGTACTTTTAAAAATTCTAAGTTTAAAATACCTAATGTTCTTTCTGTATTACTGTATAGAATATTTTTAGTCTGTACAGCAGAACTTACTTTTGTGAATAACTTTCCAGTTTTCTGACACTTCTGTACTATAGAAGTGTCAATATCTGCAAAAACATAATTCTGTTTTGTAATCTGGAGCATAACTTTTCTCACCCAGTTTGTATTCAAATTTTGTTAAGATTTCATTTCTGTCAGAATTTGTGTGCTGTTTTCAGTCAAATGTTCTTCCTCCCTTGTCTGTTACTTTGCTGTGGTTTTTTCAACAGGCAGAGAAAGTAGATGCAGCACTTCATAGTATGTTACTGAAGCAGGAACCACAAAGGCAACATTTGGCTTGCTTGGGCACATGGGTCCTATACCACAACCTTCGTATTATGATACAGTATCTTCTCAGTGGCTTTGAGTTGGAACTTTACAGTATGCATGAATATTACTACATATATTGGTAAGAAGATGCTTTATTGACACCTGTTAGAGCAGGGATGATCCCACAGAGCTATAATTGCAAACATTTGAAGGAGAGGGAACTTCAAGGATGATTTTATAATCTCAAGGTTGCTCAACACTAGATTTGGTTTACCTAATCATGATATTAGAAGTGGGGAAAAAAAAAATCTTTTGGTCTCTTTTCTAGACTTACTAAATAGTGTACTTTTTTTTCCCTGAAATAGTAATTCATTCTCTATTCAGCTTTTTTAAACAGTGTCGTCTAGTGACAATGAATGAAAAATATGCTGATCTTGACAGACAAGAGCATGCAAGAGGAAAGCAATTCCCTTTATTCTTTTCAGTCTTTGTAGTACCAAGGTCAATAGTCTTGTTGGTCTCTAGTAATTTTTGAGAAGCTCTCCAGAGTTTTAAGTTTTGGCTATAATTGGAAAGCTGGATAGCTAAAATTAACGTCTTATTCTGTGAGTATATTTGAAGAGACATCTGCCTTTAGTGAAAACTGTTGCACTATACGAAGAAAAAATACTTTCATTTTTCCGCTTCCATTCACATTAATTAGTTTTCATAGTTGATGGCTTGGTCCAAAAGATAAATTATTTTAATTTTTAAATGGTTCGTTTATGAATCAGCATTAAAAATCTGATGATGAGCCTTCCTCTGTTAAAGTGCTTGTGTACTTTGGTGTGTTGGTTTTGGTGGGATTTGGGTTTCTCCTTTTTGTACCTTTTTTGTCTGGAAAGCTACCAGAAGACTCTTATTAGGCAAGCTGCAATCCTTCTTACTGAGAGATTACACCAGTTCAAATGACTTGAACTTCAGTGCATCTTGCTATGTTTCTGTGTTGTTTTAGTAACGGATTAAGTGAAAAAATTAATATTCCAGATAGCTTCCAGAAGATGGCAATATTCTCTAAGTAATACCTCAATAAGTAATACCAGATTTTCTGTAAGACAATATTTTTTTTACCTGTCTGAATTTTCCCCTGCCACCTTAATAGAATCACTCTTAGTTGGAATGGTCATGTCAACTGGTTTCTCTCCTTAGTGTAAGTGAATTAAAAAAGAAATTTCTGATTGGAAATGTACAAATGGAACTCAAATTTCTGAGTAATTTTTCTTCTGAAATATGATTTCTTATGAAGCCTTATTTATTTTTCATTGGGCTCCAAGCCTGTAATTTCTACTCCGTTTTTCTTTATTCCTTTTGATTTGAAGTCAGTCAAGGTATTTTTTGGGCCTACTTCCACTTACTAAGAAATTGCTCTTGAAGATATCTCTTAAATCTGAAAGAATTGCATATGGATGTTGTGTTTCTGTGATCTTGACCCCTTTATTTTATAATTCATGGCTTTTTAACACTTGAAGCAAATCAGAAATACTCTTGTTTCTTGAAAAAATAATTCATAAAAAAGGCAGAAAAGATACTGACATAACTTTTTAAAAATACTTCATTTACCGGGGGAATGAAGAGTTCTATAGAAGTTTTATCGTATATGGGGTTTGAAATAATAAGGTTAGACTTCGCTTAGTAAACATATAAGAGACTTGCATACCTTGATCTGTAGTTGAATCTGTAAAGATTGTTTAAAAGAAAAAAAGAAACAATCCAGACTAGAGCATAGACTGATCTGTTGATTTCAGCCATGCAAAACAAACATAAAAGTTGTCCTTCACTACTAGTTCTTTGAGTAAATGACTTGGCAGTCGGTGGGGCTGTGTGCATCGTGAATACATTCTGTACTGCAGTATCTAACAGCTACCTATTGTTTTCACTGTAGGTATCTGTCAGAGTTCCTCTATGCCTGGTTGATGTCAACACTGAGCCGTGCTGACAGCTCTCAGATGGCAGAGGAGAGAATAATGGAGGAACAACAGAAAGGCCGTAGTAGTAAGAAAACAAAAAAAAAGAAGAAAGGTACCTAGGTGTAGAGTGTAACTCAAGGCTTTTTTTTTTCTCTTTGATGCAACTGTGTAGCATTAAAATTCAAAATTTACAGAGTCAACACCAATACTGGTAGGAAAGATGTCCTAAAGTTTATGAAGGCTGAGTGTAAAACATTTTTAGTTAAAAAGTCGGTTGTTGCATAAGAATTTCCTATTTATTTGTTTATTTACTTACTTTTATATAGGTCTTTCAGAAAACCCAGACTCCTTTATATTCACAGGTTCACCACTTCTATGTAGGATTGAGTGAAATGTAATTAACAGTTCTAGAGCTGTTGTTACCTTTGAAAAGTACTACCTTTCTACAGTCTGTAATTTCTGCAGAATTAACGCTTTTTGTGATTGTAGCTAGATTCAAGCACTAAACTTTCACTCTATTTCTGTAATTTCTATTTGGCTTTAGAAGGTCTTTGAGCATGTTTCTTAATTTTACATTTACATTTTACATCTTATATTTACATTTACATCTTAATTTGCCCATTCTCTTCCTTGCCTTCTTTTCAAGGGGAACAAACAATGGATATGAACAGCTCAGGATCATATCCACTTAATTCCCTTGTCTCTAGAAATTCAGAAAATTATTACTGGACTTTATACTTTTAAAAAAAGTTCCAAATGTTGGGCAGTTTGGCACTAGTTGAACACTGGAGGGTAAAGGGAAACTTAGAAGAATATTACCTGGATAGAAGCCTTTGTTACTAGGGTGAAAAAATGCTTTAACCTTTTACTCTTAGAAGACTAAAAAAAGTCCATGAACTAAGAAAACAAGCCTCTCAAGTACAGACTGTAAGCTCTAGGCTGTTGTTCAATGCTGTGTAGTGTCACGCAGATACCATTGACTGTCTGGACCAGTTTATTTCATTGACAGCAGAATGATGTTCATGCAACTCTTAAATGTCTTGAGGTGTTTTGTATAATCAGGAGCCAGGTGAGCAGAAATACATGTCTGTGCTTTGCATGCTTCAGTTTTCTTCATTATTTTAAAATATAATTGAGTTTTGTCACTTTCTGGACATCCATAAGAACTGTTTTGATCTGAAATTAATATATGTACTTACATTGAATTAAAAAATACATTTTTTGTGTAAAATTTGCAGTTCGCCCTCTCAGCAGAGAGATTACCATGAGTCAAGCATACCAAAATATGTGTGCTGGGATGTACAAGGTAACTGTGTTCTGTTTGTTTCATTGCAAGCCTTATTTGGTTTTAAGGGGGCTGGAAATTAGGGTCAGGTTTATAATCTGTTATGGTAAATTCTCTGCTGTTTTTCTGTCCTTCCAGTTATAGCTAAATCGTAATTTTGATCTTGTTCACAGCAAAATATGACATAAAGCAGAACTTTTCACTGTATTTATCCTTTCCTTTTTAAGACAATGATCGCATTTGACATGGATGGCAAAGTAAGAAAACCTAAGTTTGAACTGGATAGTGAACAAGTTCGATATGAGCACAGGTTTGCTCCATTCAACAGTGTCATAACACCACCCCCAGTGCACTATCTGCAGTTCAAAGTGAGTAGTCTTAGAATGTGGTGCTGCTCATGCTTCTGCAAGTCATGTTTTCATCTGCTTTAGATGATGTTGTAATTATAAAAACAACCTTTAATGTCTCAAAGGTCATATTGAAGCTAAGTCAAAATGGCAACGAGTTCTAGCTTTAGTTCTGTGCAAGATATATTGAAGATATAGTGCTTTGAATTCTTACTAAACTTAGATGCTTAGCAGTTTAAAAAGTGGTGTGATGTGGCAGTTTGAGATACTTGTGTTGGTTTGTGTGAAAATAAAATCTCTTGGAAATCTATTGGCTGTTTTTTGCAGCACAATTTTATTAGTGCAGTAAATAGACAGGAAAATTAAAAGTAATTTTGCATGTTGGTTGGAAGGGACCAGGAGAGGCTTGTCTCATCCAGTCTCCTCTTTGAAGCAGCATTATAGATCACATTAGCTGTGTTTTTGTCTAGCCACATCTGAAGAAATCAAAGGTTTGAGATTTTCTGACCTCTTCCGTTAACCTGATCCAGTTAGCTTTTTTCTGGTCTATTAGTAATTTGATAACCTGCTTGAGGTCTGCACTGTTCTCCTTTTTTCCTAATGCCCAGTCTTAATTACCCAAGCCACAACCTGTAGCCTCTGATGTTATATTGTCTGCCATTATTAACAAGGAGCCTTTGCCTCCTGACAACTTTGTAACTGCCTTTCAAGTAGTTGTAGGCAGATTCTCTGTTAGCATCCTTCTTGTCTAACTGCAAAAATCCAGGTCCACTGACCTCTCCTTGTAGCTCACATGCTCTGGGCCCCCAGCCACCTCCACATCTTGGCCTCTTTCTTGAACTGAGTGGACCAAGACCTGGATGCAGCATGACAGATAATACAACACAAATACTGAGTATAGGATGATAACCTTCCTTGATCTGATGTTCATACTCCTGCTTGTATACTCCCATATGAGGCTTGTCTGATTTGTAGTTGGCTTCTATTCAATTCGGTGTTCGCAGTGACCTTGCTGCTCACCCAGCTGGTTATTAGCCTCTGCTTGCTTGTGGGGTTGGTCTGAGCTGAAAGAGTGCTCTTTTGTATGCCAGTCACTCTCCCTAGTTTAATGTTATGAACAGCTCTAGTGGAAACGAACCATCATGGCTTCTTCATTGTCACTGAAGGTTTTGGAGCTTTTATCCCTAATCAGAAAACCCAAAAAAGTTGGAAGAATCAGAATTATATAAAATCAAGTTTTGAACAGTTTCAGCACTTCTCTTGCTGTAACCTTCATTTGAGTAAATATAATAGGAGAAAAATAAGAGTTTGGGTTTTTTTCTGTAATTTCACACTCTGCTGTATGGCGCTGTTAAAGCAAATTAAGGACAAGCAGTTCAAGAGGGAGTTTGTTTTATTAAGAATACGAGCATTTACTTGCATTTTTGTGGCATTATAAAGTAACTATTCAGCACTATGTAACTAGTCAGCACTGCTTGGGTTTTGCCATTTTAAATAAATGTTTTCAACCTCAATTTTTATTCTTAAAATAATAGAGTTGACATAGCTCTTTTCTTGAATATAGTGATTCGGGTTTTTATTTAACGTGATAAAATACAACTTGTTGCCTACTGATTTTAATACATACTTAATTTATATAACACTCTAGGAAATGTCTGATTTAAACAAGTACAGCCCACCTCCTCAGTCATCAGATCTCTACATGGCAGCTAGCAAACACTACCAGCAAGCTAAAATAATTCTTGAGAATATTCCGAATCCAGACAATGAGGTAAGACTGACATACTGGGAAAGAATAAATGTTTATTGTCAGCTGGATCTGCTCGAGATCCAAAATGTGCTTTGTCGAAATCCTGAGCCAAAATGAGTGCTTTGATTAAGGAGTGGACAGAAGAGAGTGCTGGAATCTTATACAGTGGTCTGCTTGCATACATCAGATGACATAATCAAGGTTGTGCTCACTGTCCCAAAGCCTCTCCCTGCTGAGGATCTTAGATGCTGGACAGCAACTTACTTCCTTCTTGTGTGTTGCGTTCTAGCCCTGTTCTGAAAGCATAGCAGTTTTAACAAGAAGGTGACACATGCCTGGCTCACTTACCTGGAATCTAGTAATTCAGATGGACGCCTGAGAGGTGGGAAAAATAGGTTTGAATGTCATTGGAATGAAAAGAGGATTGAGTCTGGCAAGTGTTTCCTGAGGCAGTTTTCTGAGCATTGGGCTGTAAACACGGAGTGTTTTTTCATTCTTTGTCCATAGCATAAATTTTGAAGTGTCTGTGACTGTATTTTAGAGCAAGAAGGATGCTTATTCTGTCACATCTGAGCAGGTTAAGAGTAGTTACAGGATTAGGTCCTCCTGAGAATTTAGGAGTATCTTCCTAATCTCTGGATCCTGGTGGTACTCACACATGATGTGTCTGACTGAGACTAACCAAGATAGTTGAGGTAGTTTCGAACACATCCAGAGCACTTCCATGCGAAAAGCCACCAGTGTGATACTTGAGTTTCCCTTCTCATCATGTCACAGTACTGAAGATAGATGCCTAGAGTCTGCCTACACATTTATTTGTGTGTCAGAACTTGCCATAGTTTCCACGTTTAAGAAATGTTAAAGCAGTGTTGAGTTTTTAAGAAGTGACTATTAAAATAAATGCACCCTTCATTAAATTTAATTACTCCAGCTGTTACACTTAAAGGCAAATCCAGAACAGTCTGATCTCTGTTAAACTGATCCTGTAAGAGAACTGCTGTATTAAGAGTATTTATCTTTGAAATCATTTTGAGGTCATAAGCTTTCACTTGAAAAGTTCTTGCTGTTTTCTGTTCAGGTCAATCGAATTCTCAAAGTTGCAAAACCCAATATTGTGGTCATGAAGCTGCTGGCAGGAGGCCACAAGAAGGACTCTAAGGTAAGGAAATGCCAGCTGAATTGAATGTGTAGTATTATGTACATTGAGGTTGGACACGATGATCTTGGAGGTCTTTCCAACCTGAATGATTCTGTGATTCTGTGCAAAGCCAGCACAGATCTCTTAGATCCAAATGAGCAGATTCAAGCAGTCTTAAGACTTTTTAAAGAATAGGGAAAGTAACTTGATTCATATTCCCCTTGGAAATTGTTTGTTGTAGCTATGGAAAACTCTGATTTCTAAATGTTTTGAGAAAAAAAATTGGGAAATGCATGTGGGATTATGTAGACAAATATGAATACTCCGCAAGAGCAGGAACAAGGATTTGGTAGAAGTGTATCGGCAGCTTGTATGAAAAAAATCAGGAGAGTGCTGACTGTCAGGGTGAGCAGGTGCTGCACAGGTCAGAGGGAAGAGAGTCTCCAGGCTTCCTGCCAAAGGTGAGGCACAGGAGGACAAATGAACACACTGAAGAGGCTCTCCAGCATTCTACGACTTTGTGGATAATAATGTATCCAGAAGTGGGTTGGAATACTTTTCAGATAATCATTTGAAAGAGCTAGGATTATGTTTTTCAATCTTTTGCTATTGAAAATTTTTGGCCTGCCTGCAGGGTATTCTCATTATGAGTATTAAATGCAGTAGTACTGCTGTGTAATGTTTCAAACCTTTTCTTCCTAGGTTCCTCCAGAATTTGACTTCTCCCCTCATAAATACTTTCCAGTTGTGAAGCTTGTTTGAAGGGCAAGAGATTTATTGTTAGGATACCTGTGTAGCAGATACCAGCTGTAGGAGGGAATACCTAGTGCCGCACTCACACTGCAGGGGACCTCCAGAATAAAAGTACTGTTACATGGAATATCTGTGGTCTGCAGCTTCTACATGTTCTGAATGATAACTGCTGTTTTAAAGTAGTTTTTATAAACGTTAATGGGTTTATGTGTGAAACTGACCTTAATCAACTGTATTCTTAAAGAATGTTGTACCTTAATTGGTCTTATTACAGATGTAGTTATAAATCATTGCTATTTATGCATTCTGACAGAAAATGGTGGCATTGGGGTTGAATAAAAACCATGCATGTCTGATGGGCACAGCTAAGCTACTGAAATTCTGCATTGAACAAAGTAATTTGGAGAGATTATGAGGTTCTGTATTTTCACCTAAATTGTATGAAAATTGCTCATTTTGCAAGTAAAGAGAGTGGGTTCTTTTTTATTTTGCCATGTCCTGCAAGCTAAAACAATTTATAGGAAAGTAAGAGCAGATGGAAACTAGTCATTTAGCTCCTATCGCTCTGTATTCAGCGAGCTGGTTTTGTTTCACTGAGGTCAATTTTCTAGGAGGCGTTTTGTGGCAAATAAAGGAAAAGCATTTCAAGACAGTGAGAAAGGAGTGAGTGACTCCCAGCTGGAGTTTGTTCTGTTGTCTTTATTCTCATGTTACTGAGAAATCTGCACAGTAAACATTCAAACAGTCACCAGCAATAGCACCAAACACCAAGGAATATAAGTATTCTGCCACTTTCTTTCAATCCTATTGTTGCTTTGCCATTGCAAGAGGAGGGATCCCTGATTGTCACATTGCTCAGTCAGCTCTTGCATGACCTTTGTTCTCCCCTTTTGACTGCAGTGTGGCTGCCAGATCTTACTGTGTTCAGCAGTGACTTCTCCAAAATAGAAGCCCCAAACCCAGGCTTTCCTTCATGGAATAGTACTGCCTCCTGTGCTTCCAGATGTGAAATAGTAAGAGATGATAAGCTGTTGTGTTGAGCAGCCTCCTGCTAAGAGGGGGAAAAGTAGTTTAGAAAGCTGACTAGCTCTTTGATAAACCCTGCTGAAGGTGAAGTCATACCTAGGCCATACCAGCAAATCCTCCAGGCCTGACTTTGCTTGACAGGACAGTTCTTCATTGTGGTGTACAGTAGAGCAAGGACAACCTGTGGTATTTCTCCAAAGCAAGCAGCAAGTAATAGAGAACCCAAGTTCCACATCATTTATGGAACTAAGCAAACAGCAATAATCAATTTTCCCATTGTCATTAAAATTAGAAGTAGATGAACTGTACAGAGTAAGGTGCATACACACTAGAGATTATTTTTATTTTAAAATGCTTAAAATGGATTAATGTAGATTTTAAAAAATCAAAGCTAAGTATTAACACCAAGATGATTACAGCAAACAACTAATGCCTCACACAACAAAAAACTTTAGTGAGAGACAGCACTATGTACACCACGGTTCCAAATGAATCTCATTTTGTTCAACTAAAGGTCTTTAAATTCTAATATGCTATACAGTAGGCATACAGGCCCCTTACCTACTAGAAACCTATCACCCTGGTTAGATTCCTGGAGCATAGCCAAGGCAATTAGTTTTAAAAGAATTCTCTGGCAGTATATTAATTGTTGTTGTTTGTTTCTTTCTTTGGGATTTTTAATTTGATCATGGTGTAAAGCCATTCATTCAACCTGAATACAGTGTTTCACTGTATATTTTTCACTGTTAGAATATATGCTCTTAGCAATCACTATTCCTGATCAACTTTATCTCAGCTGTGTAATCGTTTATAGATTAAGTCGTAGGAAAATTCTCAAAGGATGGGTAAATATTTAAACCCAGAATATGGGTAAGCATTTTGGAGCTAAAACATTTTTTTAAAAAAAAACCCAAAAACATGTTTCCCAATACTTGTCAGAACTGATGCTCATACCTCTTCTCTCCTGCTTAGAAGTATTGTTTTCCCTACTGTGTTGACTGTAGTAGCCCAGACCAGTTAAGTCTGACTTAAGTGGTGAGAAACAGAGTAACTAAGAACTCAGTAATAGAAGTTACTGTTTTTCTCACAAGATTTCCAGTTACATGTGGCAAGTCTGTCAGTGTTTGTGTTCAGGTTAATAGGCACCATTTGACTTGAGCTCTGACCTTCACTTTATGGCAACTAATACTCTTGTCATACACAGCAGAGCCAACCTTCCACTCGCATATTTAGACATCTTAAGGTACAGGGGTTGTAAACTAGTACACTGAGCAATGCCACACCACAAAAGGAGTTAAAACAACAGTGTCACCTGGCAGAGACACCACCATGTCTGGTAAATGCATACTCTGGTTTACATCCTTCAAAAGTCCAGCAGGGGAGATTAGTCAAGTTGAACAGTTGAGATGATCGCTGTTCTACAAGGCAAGCATTTACCTTCCTATGTTTCAGCAGAAGATAGTGGCTGGGTGAAGCAAAGGGTAGTTGTAGAACACCATTTCAGATGGCTTCTGTCAGAAAAAGTTAATGAGTTGCCACTAAACTTGTGCAAGTTAATGGTAACTGAACCACACTGTAGTACTGATCTTGTGAACAAGAGTCCCAACAAAGTTTTTAGAAAAAATCTTCCTGGCTAACCTCTTAATGAGAAAGCATTATTGTCAGAATCCTTTTTTTGCAACCTAAAAGCTAAGAACACATCTGTGTTTCAGCCTACTTACAGTATAAGCCAGAAATCTCATCAGGAAAGCCTGGGTAACTGTCATTCTGCACAGTATCTGGGGACTACAGTAGTGCTTTCTGAGTTTCTCCAAGTTGCAGTGAAAAGGTGCCACATTAGGCACAAGGGTAGACTGCAGCATGGACTTTCCCATGTTTTGTCACAGTAACTTAGCACCTGTTAAATTCTTAGAACTAAGGTGGAGATTCCTCTACTGTGCATTACTCAGGGGAGTGATCCATCCTTGGCAAAGGACTCTCATCTACCACCAATCCACACATACTGTTGCTGTAGTATGAGTATACAAGTTAGCCAACTTCAAAGTTACTGCATGTATTGCTAGCTGATTTCAATTTTATAATCAATAGGAAGGAGAAAGTCATTGCAGAGGTCAAGCTGCTTTGAAACAAGCCTCCAGAGATTTAAGATTACTTTTCCCCCCACACTGAAACAGTACTAAAACTTCACTAGAAAATACTGCTTCATCTGGGCCCTTTTTCAAGCCTTCATAGGATAATCAAAATGTTCTTAGGTCACTTTGCTGCACTTAGATGAAGAGGTGACTAAGTCGCATCATGAACCTCCTTTGTTCACCACCTGTGTGGTTCTTCACCATGCTCATTTAACTGGTTCTTCATATCTTCAGGGTTTTGAACTAATGAGAAAAAAAGTAGAGAAATCTCTTTAAGAGGCACAAGTGGTAGTTCTTCATACAGAAAGTTCTATCTAGAAAACAGGAGAAATTCTGTAAGGACTGTTAAGTACTGTATTGGACAGTAAAGTTACAGATCCCACACCCCCACAAAGAGTAGCTTCAGTGATGCTATACAGAAAATAGGAGGCACTGTCAACATGAGGGAAAGCTCAAAGAGCAAACAGGAATTAGCTAAGTATATCTGCTACAGGATGCCATACAAAATACCATCTTAAAACTTTCAGCATGTGGTATTTGGGTTAAAACTGGATTTTTTGAGGGGTTTTTACCATTTTCAGTCCCTGCAAGTGCTGCTTGCTTGTCTGTTTCTGATTCAGCTTCATTCTCATCTAAATTGTAATCAACATCCTTGTCCTGGTTCACTGTTTCGTGTTCCTGTTTGTCTGGAAAAAGATTAAAATAAAGTAGTTTTATGCTATATTATAAGGTCATCTGCACAAGAAACAGTGACTGTAACCATCCTCCACAGAATTTGCTTTGTTGTTGCATGAATTGCTGTTCAGAGTAGGTTTTCATACTATTTTTCCTTTTGAACTGTTAAATTTGAGAGCAAATTTGCTGTAAATCTTGTCTAAAGAATTAAGATTAAAGAATCTTTTGAGACTTGGAAAGTGTAATAAAATTCAGTCAACACTCACATGAACAGAAAGAAAAAGCAATTTTAGAATACATTAAATTAAATACATTAAAGGGCAGCCTAAGGAAGAGGAAAACCTGAAACCAATGCTGAAAACTTGACTGTGGTGTTGCTTTTAAATCTATTACCACCATCACCAAAACACCTCAGCTTCCCCCCTACTTTAGTTTGTCCAGCAAGCAGGAAGCTGTGAATATAGCATAAAAAAGGATATTTTTGATGTGCTAACTTGACACAAAAGCATTTTTCTAGAAGATACTTTCTTCAACATTTATTGACTATCTTAAAATTTCTTTAGATAGCTCAGAAGTAAACGGAAACATTATTTCTGATTGCCAAACTGCTACTCCCATTTTTCAGATAATCAGCCCGAAAAAAGTGTAAGAGCAGTAAAGATAGATCAGAGCCTCTGATTCTGAATGTTCTTAATCCAAGACCGCGAGGTAGTAACTGCCTTAGAAACAGGCTTAAAATTTTTCAGCCTTATGTCATCCATGTTCAGACCACATTAAATAAATTTTTATAGTTACAGACCTAAAGGTCTCAAACTTTCATACAAAGCTCCACTTGAAAGAGAGGATGCCCAGAGACTACTGAAGAAGTCTTTCTTCCTTAGGCTCCTTTGGCTACAAGGAACCTGTGCAGTAAGGTATTGTGCTTTTGTTGAACAGTCAAGCCTGGAGAATATCCTGCTAGTCTTTCTAGGTCACAGAAATGCTGACATTTCACGGGCTGCATGGCACAGCTTCTCCTTGCACTAATTGTTGGATCATTTTTTTAACCTAATCTTCCTGCTATTTATTTCTGTTAAAATGGAAGCCATTTAGGTAATTTGTAATTACATCTCCTTGGGGTGCAGCCTGTTTTGGTCAGCATCTTTTTGGAGCAGGTGAAAAACAACACTTCTGCAATGCAGATGAGATTACTTACCCCTGCCAAGTTAGCAGCAGTGTTAACACTCTTAACTTGTAACTCATGATGCTAAGAATGTGTGTACTAGGAAAACATAAACAGCATTTTTTGTGGCCATCAGTTTCTGTTCTGAAGGCTTCCTTCTGATTCCTCTGGGCAACAGGGTCCAACTGAGACCAAGTCCCTCAAGACAGAGAGGTCAGCTTTTGGCACAGCATGGATACTCTGCTGCCCAGTGCCATGGCAACATGTGGTTCAAGGTCACCTGGCAGATGTCAGAAACTGGCACCTTTACAACATCTGATCCATGTTTTTGCAGACTCACAATTATAAACTTCACATATCTGAAGCCTGAGAGTTTTACTTGCGGTAGCTTATTTTGAAATAAGGATAGCCAGCATTTACACACTGACACTAGAAACTGCAGAACTTCAGTGCATAGTAACTCTCCACTCATCAATGCTTTGGATTGTTAACATCTCATCCTTCTTCAATGCATCACAGTCTTATGAAGCCCCAATACCAAAATGTTTGAGGGCTAATTTCCCCGAATGTTTCGTACAGCCAATGGAGAGAGACAGTAATGCTGCTATGGTGATGCAGAGGAACCCAGCCAGGTAGCTCTGTGTGGCAAAGACACCTTCACTTGCAAACTGCAGAAGACTGCTGTGAAGTGACACCTTTCACACAGCACAATGACCTTTATGCAACTTGTACTAAGTGTGACAAGCTGCTGCCACTGTTGCAGAAATCATGCCCTATTCCACACTTATTTCTTTCTCCACTGTGCTAAAAAACAATCAGTGCATGACATGCTACGAACCAGGCTTTCCAGGGGGTGAGTCATCCTGCTTAGCATCATAATTTAGGAGCTGTTCCCTCTCAATTTCCTCACTGGCAGCCTGCTCTGCTGCTGGCTGTAACCTTTCCTGCTCAGCTATATGCTTTTCATCTTCAGGTGGATTTGGCTCCTTTTCTGACTCAAGCAGCGTCTCCCTGTGTTCCGCAGCAGCTTTGAGTGAATCTTGTGGTTTTTTCAGTTGACTAGAAAGCTGCTCCTCTTCTGCCTTAGGCTCCTTTCTTCTGATGTCAGGTAGGCCATCTGTTCTTTCTGAAAACAACAAAAATGAGTCTGAGTGAAAAACACGATGCCTTTCAGTGGTGGCACAAGTTAAAAACCTTTAATAAGTACTGCTTTATATTTCTCGTTCAGTTCTTGTTTTCCCTCTGAAAGAGTATCTTTCAGCCATGTCAGTTCCAAAGATAAAGCGAAGACAACTCATGTATTTCCTACTGAGAACAGCTGAAGGATGATACTACTTCGTTTATAGTCAACAGATTCATGCTTCTACATCCTTAAAAGTTTGGTATGTGTGGTTAAGAAATTGGGCAGGTGAAATATAGAAGTTTAAATTGAAGTTGAAGTGTGCTATATCAGGTTTCTGTGTGTTAAATTTTGTTACCAACAATAAAATGGATTTGGTGTTCAAAAGTAGCTCAGGACAAAGCAGTCACACAGGCAGGTTTGCAAGTAAACCAAGGCTGTTCTTATTTTCAAATATGAAGAGGAAGCACAGGAGTGCTATAATTTTCAGCAGACGTTAACTTCTCTTTTTTTCCTGTGTATCTCTATTTTTGACTAAAAAACCAGGATAACATTTACCCAAGTAAACTATGTAGATGTTGCCTTCAATTGCTAGCTCTCTAAAATGAGAGTTGCATGGTCACAAGTTAAGATAATTTAAGATGCCATGTAAGAAAAATTAAATAGGAAATTGAAATTCTATCATTCAAATGCAAGAAAGACACACAAGGATACATCCATGCAAATTAATAGTTTCTGAGGTTTAATGCAAAAGTAACAGTTAGGTTAAATAACCTGATCTCCTGTGTATCATTCCCCTTACCTGCATTTTGCTCAGTGACTACACATAGGAACCACTTATGTGCATTTGTTTTGAGCCTAACTTTCAGCTATTCTGTAGGGAGGGGTAGGAGGCTATATGTCAAATTTGTTAAGCAAGCAAATTTTAAATGTGCTTGAAAATCATTGCTTCCAAAGTGGGGTATTTTCTCCGTATTAAATGAGGAATTAGGACCCTAGAATTGTAAATATTTGTATTTTCCTTTATGTGCAACTTGTAACTTATGACAAAACTGAAGCGGCAGAAATGTTAGCAATAAAAATGCTTGAGTAGATATTACACTTGTCCACAGCTGAAAAACTGAATAAAGTTCAGACTGCTGGTTTTACTTTTCTCCATCTTAATCTGGTATACAAAAATGTTTTTAAATGTTCCATTAAGATACAACTGCTCTTAACCAGTTTTTAGTAAGACAGGGATTCCCATCTCACCATTAGCCTGCAGCAGGACAGTCTTTCTTACTGTAGGTAGTGCTTTAGGTACATCTTCACTGGGTTTCTGCTGTTCCAAATCAGCCTGCTTGAACTCTCTTTGCTTCACGGCTGGCAGTTGAGTACTGACCTGTAAGGGGAATGGACACAGACAATAACTTATCTATTAACTGCTCCTGGATTTGGAAAGGGAAGTGGAACTTTGATAAGATTTCAGTAGGGGGAAAAATCTTAACATGCATGGAAACATTTGGACTGAAATTTTTATTGGTGATGAAAGTACCACACACTCTTGAATAAGTAGTAATGCTTCTATGTAACAGCACAACACATGTGCAGAATTTAAGATACCTTCTTTCACTGCAGCTAACAATGACATTACTGTTCCTGGTTATTCTCTGAGCATCACAGAACTGTAACACCACATATTTCTCCACTGGTGCCCAACTACTTTGTCAAGGTCAGCAAAGCAAAAATCAGAGGGCATTAACTACTGTTAATGATCTACAGGACAGGAAAACTGAATCTGGGCATTAACAAGACTTCAGTTAAGCAAGCCTGTATGGAACTGATCTATAACTGTTGAATGCAGGATTAAGGAAAAAAAAAAGTAAATTAACCAATTAGACAACAGTACCTGTTTAATGTGATGGAACTTACTCAAGAATGTATTAAATTCTGATACCAGAGTGCTCTCAGCATGTGACCTGCTCAAATATTAAGGCTAAGATTTACACCACCTTGAAGATCTTCCAATTTACCAATTAAAATGCTATGTATGACTTTTACTCATACTGGCACTGGCCTTCCTCATATGTCCGTGGTCTCCCTGTATGACAGCACTGGCGTGTTTGCCAGCCTGAGGCCCCTTCCATCTCCTCCCCATCCTTGGATCTGGTGGTGGGCAGTCCTGTGCTTGGCAATGCCTCCATCAGTGGATCCTCTTATCTACAGCATGGGGAATAGGGAGCTCAGGGATGTCATTAAGAAAGTAAGTCCGTGTATACTTTTTGCTAGTGATAAAATTACTACCTCTCTCCATAAATAACTGCCAGACTATCTGAATCAAGTATTTGCAGGGGTGGGTGGGTTGGTTTGTTTGCATTGAATTTGTTGGTTTTGATGTCACTATTGCTTCTGTCATTGTCATTGATGGTGATTTTCCATAAAATTTTTGCATTTGCCTCACTACATGAGTCATGCACCATGTTTCTGTCACCTCCTACCTTGGTGTTCTGTGGTATGTCTAACACTGCCTCAGAAGGATCTCTCTCATAACATCTCTGTAGTAAAATGGAATCTCCCCAGTGCCTTACTTTCAGCCTGGGCTCTTCCTCTAAAAAGGCCTGAGGAACTCCTGCACTGAAATTCCATTTCCACCGTATGTTCTGGACTGAAAGGTTCAAACCTTTTCAGGTCTCGAATAAGATTCAACTTAGGATTCACCATTAGTTCCTGGTGAAAATGAAAGATGGTCAAGGAACTGAGGGATGTACCAAGGGCTTTCACACAGGTGACACTAAAATCACCCATCCTCTAGGAGGGGAATCTGGAGCTGCCCGTAGAGAATGGTGAGTCTCCAGCTACAGCATATTCCTGGAGTTCAGTGTGTGTCAAAGAGGTTTGGAAAGATAGGGTGGCCATGCTCCACCCAGCACGCAGTTGACCTTGCACCACTGGCTCATATGGCATCCCTTGTAATACCCAGGCCCTTCTCTTCAGGGCCACTGCTCCACCAGTCAGGACTCAGCTTGCCCTGATACATGGCATCATGCTTCCCCCTGGAAGCTGAGGATTCCCTGTGGCCTCTGGTGAAGATCATGGTGACGCAGCTGTTCCCCTGCAGCCCATGGGGGTTAATGGGATGCAGAGATCCACCTGCAGCCCATGGAGGAGATCCACACTGGAGCATGTGGATGTCCAAAACAAGGCTGTGAACCCATAGGAAGCCATGCTGGAGCAGCTCCTGGCAGGGACCTGTGGACTCGTGGAGAAAAAAGACCCATGCTGGAGCAGGTTTGCTGGTAGGACTTGTGATCCTGAAGGGGACCTGTGCTGGAGCAGGCTGTTCCTGAGGAGCTGGACTGTCTGGAAAGTGACCCACATTGGAGCAGTTCATGGAAAACTGTAGCCCATGGAAAGGACTCACACTGGAGAAGTTCATGGAGAGCTGTCTCCCGTGGGAGGGACCTCACACTGGAGCAGGGGAAGGACCCTCCCTGAGAAGCAGCAGAAACATGATGAACTGACCATAACCCTCACTCCCTGTCTCCCTGCAGGGGAGGAGGTAGAGTCAGGAAGGAGGAAGAGTAGGGGAATGTGTTTTTTAGGGTCTGTTTTATTTTCTCATTATCATGCTCTGATCTTGTTAGTAATAAAATCATTTAAATTTCCCCAAGATGAGCCTGTTTTGCCTGTTGACAGTATTTAGTGAGTGATCTCTCTCTGTCTTTATCTCAACTCAGCAGCTTTTCCTTGTATTTCCTCTCCTCTGTCTTTGCAGAGGAGACTGAGAGCAGCTTTGGTAGGTGCCTGGCATCCAGCCAGGGTCAGCCCACTAGAATAAGCAAGAAGCCAGAGTTGTAGCCTGGGATTACTTGGCTGTTTTGAAGAACATCTAAATTCAAAGCCAGGTAGAACAAGACCTTGTTGAGTCAACACCATGAAGGCCAACATCAACAACAATTAATCTAGCATTAACTCTTATGAACACTCCATTTTCTATCTCTGTTTTAACTCTGACCTGTCTATTATGTAAGCACATACATCTTACAAACAGGAATTATTCCAGCTAAAAACACTGGAGAAAAACATGCATATACTTTGTCAGAGTCACCTTGCGGTAATGATAACTAACTGCTTTTGTAAATGAGAAAAGCTGCAATCCTTGGGCACATAAACAACTGAGAAGGTTACAGCCTGACGTACCAAACACTGCCACAGATACTACACAACACAAGCAGACAGAAATTATTTAGGCTGTGGCTACATTACTGGTTAAGTCATCTAACACCATTCCATTTATATGATAAAAGAACAGATAACCTGTCCTGCCTAGCAGATAACCTGCTTTGAGTAAAAATTGGCTGCAGTTATAGAACTTCTTGCAGGAGACAGAAATTGTCCTGCAGAAAGGCTTCAGTCAAACTCCTCAGGTTCCTCCTGAGATGATTTATCTTCCAAACTGGAAATGGTAAAAAAAAAAAAAAGAAAAAATCCACAACCACAAAACAAACCCACACAAAACAAATACATAGAAAAGGAATCTAGTGCAGGTAATTGTAATGAAAATTTGCTGCAAAGCCATACTAAAAATTCAGTTGACCACCACTCTACCATGTTCTGCCCCACATCAACTTTCCAGATAGTCTTTTACACATTGATGTTAAACAAGATATATTTGACAAACAAATGTACCATCTCCAGAGAATGTTTTTTTTTTTTATTATCATTACTTTTTACTTGTTTGACACTGTTGATAAAAATTTTTGACAGAGCTTTAACTTTTATTGTAAGGCATAACAGAGTAGCACTTCCTGCTTCTAATGCTTCATTCACCTTGCAGCTCTCATACAGTGCAGGTTCCCAGGATATAAAGTCACACACTTCAGTAGTTCCCTCTCCCACCATTTTACATAAAGGACTGGACACAGACTGAAACCACTGCCTGAACACCTAGAGGGTCTCTGGGCAGATGTTTCAGCCACTTTCTCCCACCCTTTTTCAGCTATTTGTAAAACTCAGCTTCATTCCTCATTGCTTTATTCACCCTTTCCATTTCTGAAGTCATCAAATTTAGCCTTTTTCTAGCCAGAGAAAAGCATATGTACCACCAAACCCTCACAGCCTTTGCAATGAGAGTTGGCCATCCAGGTAGGGTGGAAAGGCCCCATTGCAATCACATGTAAAAATTGTAACTTCTGTAACAGATGCTCATAGTCCTGAAGAAAGAGCTACTTCTACACTGCAATATCATATTCAAGGCTTGCTGCTCCTCTGAAGTGATTCACAATTTAACCTCATATTTAACATACATCTTCAACACATAAAGCAACTAAGTCCTTTAACTTGGAGTCAAAAGGAGCCGATTTATAACCGAAACTCAGCAGTGTAAATATTCCTTAATAGACTACGCAGCACTTCTGGCATCAATCTCTCAAATTCTGCCCATCTCAGAGAGGCAGTGATTTAAAAATCTCCTGAAGGACCTCTGGCTGTTCTGTTCTTGGAATCACCCCATTTCCCATACAGCAGAAGCATTCAACACATATTGAAGCAGTGCAAAAGTAAATGAGATGGGCTAATGTTAGGTGGAGATATCAGAAAGGTGGTAATAAAAAGAATTACAAAGGAAAACATTCTCTAGAAATTATCCAAAACCATACCTGGTTATATTTTTTTGAATCTTCTGGGAAGTCTTTGTTTTCTTTCATTTGTGGTACACTGCTACCCTTTTTTGTAAGCTCATCTATCTTTTCTTCACATTGTTCTTTGAAGTCTTTCATCTGGTTGATGCACTGCGACCTGGAGAAAACATGAACATGATAGAGTTATCTTCTATCTGCATTCTTCTAAAATGCTCTTTTGTAAAACGATCTTTTTTTTCCCCTATTTTATTATTTCCTTAATTCTACTATCTGGACTTACATTTGTTAACTTAAGTCCTAAGAACAAACTTGTATTTCAGGCAGTCCAAGTACTACTGGAAGAAAATAATTTAAACTGATTTTGTTAGACCACTTGAACAGCTACATTATTTTATTTTTGTCTTTCACTAACCAGTCAAATTCAGTTAAGTAAATTTTGATCCTTGAAGCATTTCTAGTATGATAACAGAAACACGTATTTTGATTTTAGCCAGGAAGAGGAAACATCGAAGCACTAGTTGAAATAAAAAAACAGGTGTAAAGTACTGTTAGCAAACTGAACACCCTTTCTCGATATTCAGCAGGTTCTGCAAGACATAACGAAACATCTGTTACAGAAATGGAGTTTGTCAGTAGCCATTATAAGTTCCCAAAGCAGTATTTCCTAAAGATGCAAGCACTTTATATCTTTGATATACTTTTAATAGGTACACAACGCCATTAACATCCTAACCTTCATGATGGCAGGGAGTCTTCTGTTTGCATTTCTGAGCCTGCCTTTCCCTCACAGCTCCGTAACCTCTAGGTACATCCTGAACTGTTGTGGTTGTTTTCCCTCAAGCTGCCAGGGCAGTGTTTCCCCCTTTTGTGGCTGTGCAAAGTCCATGAGTGGTGTCAATCTGTTTCTCAGGGTAAGGGAACTGCAGTTGGGGTCAGATCACCATTTCTACCTGATTCTCTTCATAACTTGTTCTGTAACCTTCATTTTATATTAAAGGAAGAACAAGACCTAGTGAATAACAAAGCAGGTAAGCATTACCCCATAATACATGTAGAAGGCTTAGAAAATAGACATCATATGAGACCAAGTATGCTTTGATCCCACTCTGAACAGGAACAAGCAGTAGTGGGTTTGAGAGGATCCCAGTGGGAAGTGCATCATGCTGGGAGAAAATGTGGTGAAAAATCATCACCACTGTCAGCACCCACTGCTCTGAAAAGTATTCCCAGGGAACAGTTTTGGCTGGAGACCACGCTGTTTCTCTTCCCTGCTGGTCCTAACAGCAAAGGAGTTTGTTGGGGTTTTTAAACCTTTTCTCCCTTCCCTCTCCTTTGTTTTTCCCACTCAAAAGTAACTCAGTTCTATACATAAAATCAGCTACTGACCCTCAAACACATCTTTCTGCATTCAAAACTTCTCTCAGCATCCTTTGTACAACAGCATGGTCAACATAGTGCAAGCTTCTCCTCCCCATCAGTAAGACAGAACGGGAGTGAATTACTTCTGATTCTGGCTCTGACAGAGTGTTAATGCCCTCAAGTGTAAGGTTCAGCTGGTTCAGACAGGCATGTTCTAGTTTCTCACGCTGCAAATAACCTACTACTAACCCAAAGGAATTCTCAGGACACATGCACACTGCAACAGCAAGTCACTCATTTTTACTGCACTTTCATCCTTCTCCATCCCCGCTTTTCGAAAGCAAAATATCCTTTCTGGAGCACACACCCAGAAAGGAAGAACTGCAGCGTTCAGCTGTGCTATGACCTGGCAATTAAATTACTTTCAGTACCATTTCTCCTTGACTAGACATTATTCTAAAGTCTGATTCTGATAATGCTAATACATGGAAGAGTCATCAAAATAAGCAGAGCTTCCACAGTTGGTGAACCTCAGGGGGAGTAAAACAATATTCTCCTGAGTTATGCATATGTTCACTAATTTCTAGGAAACAAAAGGACATCAGAATTGTCTGCACCTCAGTTTGCAAGCTTGCGAAAGATGCAGTATACAGCCAGTCTGAGTTGGAGATATCACAGGCTTTCACAAATGCTCTTTCACTCCACACTGAACATGAAAATAAAGCTCATTTAACACCTGTGACAAACATTCACCATTTTTAATTCATTATCTCTGACAGAATTTCCTTCTTTTAAAAGGGATTTCTGACTATTTGAATACTCCAGTCATGCATACAACAACTTCAGGAATACAAGGACAGCACTAATTTCTCCACCTCATCCCATCAACATGATGTATTTCAAATGTGCAAAACCAATACTCTCAAATTCAGTCTCTGTGGCTGTTTTCTCCCTCACAAGATTATTACACAGAGATAGTTTGTGTGACAAAGAGCTCACCTGTGTACACACAAAGGAGCCCAAGTAATATCATCATCTCCAACTGCTTCCAGGTCCATCACAGGAGATACCAGCCCACCCAAGGCCACCTCCATGAGCCCAAGGGAGCACAGAGGCACAAAGGTGGTGAGGAGCCTAACTGTGGACTCAAAAGAAGGGAGAGCCTGGACAGACCACCCACACAGCACACTGTGCAGGAGTGGACACTCTCAGGGAAGAGAGACGAGGCTACTGGTGTTGTCTGTGCTTGTGCTTCATGTGTTTCTGTTAACCTGTGTTCTGGTTCTTTCCAGGCTAGGGTTAACTTCTGCAGCAGCCAGGAAGGGCACGCTAGGGCCCTGGGGTTATTCTATACCACCTCACTTCATGTGGAGAGCAGAGACAGGTTTCACACGGTGAGCAATCATTCACCTGTCTTGTACACTCGGTTATTAATATAGTTGTTACTGTTCATTTTCTTACTTCATTGCTGTTTCTTAGTAAATTGTTTTTATCTCAACCCGTGATCTTTACCTTTGTGCCTCCAATTCCCTCCATCCCACCGCAGGGGGAAAGGGTGGGGGAGTGAGTGAGCAGCACGTGGACTGGGGGGTTTGAGTGGAAACACCAGACTGGGGAATACCACTCCTAAACCATGACAACCTGCCCACACACAGACGTGCTCTGTGTGCATGGGAACAGATGTGCAACCTCTCCCCTCCCTGGCTGCTGGATTTGCCAAGCCCTGCATGGCAAACAGAGTACCTTTGTACTGCAGAAGCATGTATCATTCATTCTCTCCTTTTTATCCCTACAAAGAAAAGATTACTTGTGTACTCACACACTTTGACTTGTCAAGTCTGCAAATACCCAACTTTTTACATGTAGCAAAATTTCCAAAGAAGCTGTTACATAACAAACAAAACTCCTAGGAATCAAAATGCATCTGAATATTGAAACACATTCAAAAGATCAATCCAGAGGCTTCTGTTTCTCTCTGGCTGCTGCAGAAGAGAATAGTCAGTGTGCCAGTCAGCCTTTGCTGAAGAAGCCCTACTGTGAGCAGGCAGCAGGTAGGGTATCTTGTGAGGTCAGCTGCTGAGGGAGAAAATGTACTCCTTCTGCACACAACACCAGTTAGCTCACATAGCCCTGCTGATTTCCGTAAGGGAAACACTAAGCTTGCTCAAAAAGAGTGCTTAAAATGAAACTTTGCAACTCAGGTACAAGGAAAAACAATTTTTTTTTTCTTTTAAGTTCACAGATTCTGCTCTTATGCATTCCACATGCACAACTGCTTTTACCACTGCCTTGTACAGCCTAGCATCTGAATGTTTAAAGACAATGATTCACAGTGAGTACAGCTTAAAAGAGACATTTTATTTCTGACACTTTTTTATCACATTTTCAATTACACAAATAATACTCTTCATTTTTGCATTGGCAAAGTGTACTTGATACTTAACGTGTGAAATGTTCACCCACGCAACTCCAAGTCAAAGCACACAGGCAGTTCTAATGCCCAGTCCTGGCAAGGCTTACTAAAGGTGAACAGAAAGGCTACCTGTTGGTTTATTCCTAATGTTGAGAGGAGGAAGGAAGACAGATTAAAAATAACATTTGCAGTCTTTCCAATAATTCTCATTTTCTAGGCCACTGGGTTAAGGTTGTTTGTAAGCATTTAAAATGACAGTGAACATTTTTAACAACAGCAAAGAGGAATGTACATAACCAAATACAATCAAATATCCATTTCTACAACTGCAAGAACACAATGTAAAGTTAGTAATGTAACTCAGTACAACAGTGAAATATTAATGTTCCAACATCCTCCCTAAAGGTGCACAACAAGTAACATTTTAAAAACACATTTATGTAAGTTCCTGCTAGGACTGTGTGAACGCTGCAGGGTACCCAGGCTATAAACGATTTCATGAAAATTTGAGTGCAAAGTTTGTTTTCTTCACTTACATAGTTACATTAAAAGTCTAGAAATAGAAAACAAACATTTAAGTATTATTCAGGAAAGCCAGTGAGGAAAGCATAGCTCCTGAACTGAGATTACTGCCTTTATGGACTGACATGCTGACACTGCAGGAAATTGTGTGCCTGCCTCATGACCACTTGGAGGCAGACCAGCCAGCTCAGTCCCTGTTCAGCCATCACTGGCTGATTTATTCTGCCTGTCTGTGCATCTACCCTGAGGCAAGTAAACACATCTTCAATGCTGTATCATCTTTAGCTCTTCACCGTGAGCCAGCCCTGATCCTGGAGCTATGCCCTCCCAATACAGCCTCCTGTTCAATGAAGAGGAATTCTTTACAGTACCCTACCAGAAGCAGGAATAATGTCAGTGACTTCCTCAACAGAGCTGTATTTAGAAACATTTCACCTACCTTGGGCAACAAACATGACTTTTCAGAAGTCGTACCCACTACATTGCGCTTGTATCACTTCCCTGCACATGTATATCAATCCAGGGCTTCACGGATGCACCTCTCATATGGAGCATGACCATACAGCACATACACACAGCCCATGGATCCATTTATTCTTGCTAATCTCAGACTTAGAAGAAAGATACTGGCAAACAGATCCTCTAACCAGCACAGAACTATCAGCAGGGGTCCATGAGTCTCAGGTCCATCATTTAACTAAACAGCAAAGCAATGGTGCTTAACAATGGTAGTTTACAACAAACACAGAGGGGAAAAAAAGCACCTTCAAAGATGCACAAGCAGCATGGCTTAATAAAAGGCTGGTACAAACTAAAGTTTCCAACTCCCTTCTACTTTTCTGTTAGAAGTTCTAAATTACAAGTCCACCAATACAATCCATCTGAGTCATCATTTTAAATACACACACACACACACATATATATATATATATACACACACACAAATAATCCCTCCCCCAAAAGAGCTCACAACCAACTGGTAATCACCAAGTATCACAAAGCATCAACATTAATCCCTAAGCAAGGGGAAAAAAGCTGCTTCAAGAGGTACTGTAGAATCCAAGTTCTTTGATTGTTTTCTTCAGCTTTTAATTGCAAGTCCTACCAAATCTGGCCAAATAATGGCTGTTGGAAAAATACCTATCACCACAACAATTATATTCTTGATGGAAAATCATTATGAGGACATGCAAACAGCAAATTCTGTTGCTTTTTTTGTATCTATGCACCAGAGGGAAGATTCAATAGGAGGTGAAGGCTATAGGATAAGATTCAATAGGATGTAAGGTCAAGGGAACAAAAAGATTACTGAACAGAAAGAACACAGGAGAAATTCATAGAAATACCAGAAATGTATATTTAGGTTAATGATACTGATACATACTTCAGTTATCCATGCTTTATAATTCAGTGAAAAATTTCAAGAATAAAACATGACTAGGTAATGCAAAAGACATGAGCCTGACCAGTATGGTACCAGAAATCTCCTGAGACTGTGTGTCAGCTTTTACTTTCTCCTTAAAAAATACTTAACAGCACTACAGCTAACACAATAATACTCTGGGTTATAACCAAGTCACCTATAACTCAGGAAGTCATCTTCTATAAAGAATATACTTACAGGTCAAATGAGAACTTCCTCTGGAGGTTAGTCTGATTCTTCTGAAACCAGTAAACATCCTGCTGTAGCTTGCCATATTCTGTCTGTAATGCTTTCAAGTGTTCTGATCAAAAAAGGATTAAAATACATATTAGAACACACCCAAACACACATACCTACATGTACTACAACAGACATATCAGCCAACAAAGTGATAGTAAGCATATTAAATTCATCCATCTGTCATAATGACTATATTTTGCATACATATGTACAGATAACTGTTCAATTCATTCAACAGAGATGTAACAGGATTGGGTAAGAATAACCTTTCAGCCTAATATATCAGCAAAAACAGTGTAACATATATTTTTACCCACTTTTCTTCATAAGGAATATTCTAACTCATTTGCAAACCCTGCTAGGTATAAGCCCAGGAAATCTTTAGGTCTGTGAAACCATAATCAGAACACAGTATGAGACAGCATTCATGTTTATCAGACATCTAAAGACAAGCTTACAATGTTTCCCTGAATAACATGCAATTTACAGCTATCTTCGTCAACAACAGAGGCATCTATGATTTACAGTTTTTGTCCCAATAGAAAGCTCCACGTGAGGGCACCAGAAGGAACCATAACATACTTACTTTTTTATAGGACTTAGGAGACATTCCTCGGACCTCCTGAGTAAATTGCTAACAGTCATTTTGAAGCACCAACATTAGCAGAAATGAATTACATTGCATTTTCTTGTTTAATATGGGAGTTTGTGAATTCCTCTAGTGCTAAAATGTATGACCAAACATCTCAGGGAGGAATGCAAGAGTATGTAGCAAAAGGTAGAATGAAGAAAAAATGTATTAACAATAGGCAGAACCTAGTTTTATTCAATATTACTTTATATCATAAGAGTCAGGAGCGCTACATCAAGCACTACATGGACAAATCCTCCTCTACCAATAAGGCAGATTAGTCTGACACTTCACTGGAACTGTGCAGATGAAGTACTGAAGTCATCATAGCTCCTGCACCAGTCATGACTTGAAGAAAAGCAGCAGAGGACCCCAGAAACATACAAGTCTTAAAAACAAGGGGCTTAAAAAACAATATAAGCGACATACCTCGGAGACTCTGAATCAACCGACCACTTACTGTAATGTTATTCATCAGCATTGCCTGAAAGAAGCAAAACAAAAAACAACATTCTAATTGCAAAGGATCTGTATTACCATTAATATTACAAACACCTACGAAAGCACTTGTCAAAACACCTTTTCCTTGTGAAGTGCTGTGTTAGAGTCAAACACAAAAACTTTCAGCTGCTCTAGAAATTTACTATTGCAAACAAACATTCATTTTAACCTACAATTCTCAGTAAGAGAGATGGGGGGGAGATATCACTGCACAAATGAAGAGAGGAGGAATTTAAAGATACTAAAATTCCTTCAACACACCTGCATTCAGGCATGCAAGGATGAGCTACGAAAGTAGTAATCGTGGAGCATAAAGGAACTCTGATTTCTCATAGGACAGGCAAATCAAAATTTAATGTTTTCACTGGTTTATTGAGGAAAGGAAGCTAATGCTTCAATGGAAATGCCAAGTTGTGCTAACACATGAACAAGGTAGTCAGGGCATACAGCACCGGTCATTATCAGAAACTGTTAATGAACTAGAAAAATCAGCATGGCATGGCAGTCTTACCTTCCTACAGTTTGTCCTGAGTTTTTTGTTTGTTTTGTGTTACTTAGTTTTTGTCTAGGGTTTTTTTTTTTTTGTTGGTTGTTCGGTTGGGTTTTTTTCTTAAAATGAAACTCCCAAATACCAGGACCACTTATGTGACAGTGAAACAGACAAGTGTTAAAAGTTTTGTACATTAGGACAATAATAACTGCGATTAGCTGAAGCGAAAAAAATTATTTGCCATGTCAAAAAAGGTTCTTAGAATCACAGCATGGGGGGAAAAAACATGCCTTAGTCTTTCACACTTGCATATAAATCATTCTTTTGGCAATGCCACACCTACCTCCCTGAATGTGTGGGCAGGAGTTCAGGAAAAAATAGTAACAAAAATCTAGTTAGCTATTTAACTTGAGCAGGATATACTGTTTAATGACTTACAAGACAGTGCTGCAGCACTACCCAACCACCAATAACACCAGGCTTTCTCTTCCTCTGCCTGTCATTCAAGTGTTAACTAATCTTCACCTCATGGCTGTGAATTAAGCAAACATTTTCTTTTGGGTTTTTATGCAGGTCAAGAACGCAAACTACTGGAAAGCATCAGTAGGCACATGCCAATACTCAGTTCTACAAAGAAACTCACATTTTTAAATGTCATTCAGCCCACAAAACCACCCATACCTATGATCCCCAGGGGTAAGAATTCAGCTTTTGGAAAATCGCTACATCACCATATCAAAATCTGATGTTCTGTGACAGAGTAACTCTGCAACATAGAACCAGCTTGTTGTATCTGTAAACCTATCTTGCACAGAAGCCCTTGTGACTACGACAGAGAAAAAAAAAATCAGTCTTCTCGTTGAAGATGATGCTGTGGACAGCAGATCTTCAGAAACCAAAAATCAAGTCACACTTCCACCAGCAGTGAAGCAAAAAACATGCTCCAACTGTACAGCAACTTTTTTTATGACAACTTCCAGAGATTTTATTATTATTCACCACAGAACATGTATATACAAGTCATACTCCACTTAATAAACACCAAGCTAAAGTTACCGTTTAAAAAAACCCAAAACATAATGCAGAAATACGTGTGAAGAAGCTTTCAGATAAATTATGTCAAAGCCTATGTTTTGAGCCCATACTCTCTAAATTGGAGAGACATGGATTTGATGGGTGGATCACTCAGTGGATAAAGAACTGGGTGGATGGTCACATGCAGAGAGTTGTGGTCAGCAGCTCATTGTCCACATGGAGACCAGTGATGAGTGGTGTCCCTAAGGGGTCAGTGCTGGGGCCCATACTGTTCCATATCTTTGTGGTGACATGGACAGTGGGATTGAGTGTACTCTCAGCAAATTCACTGATGACACCAAGCTGTGTGGGGCAGTTGACACACTGGAGGGAAGGGATGTGCCATCCAGAGGGACCTTGACAGGCTGGGGAGGTGAGCCAACGCAAACCTCATCAAATTTAACAAAATGAAGGTCCTACATCTGGGCCATGGCAATCCCAGGCACACCTACAGGTTGGGTGGGGAAGTAATTGAGACTAGCAATGAGGAGAAAGACTTGGGAGTGGCAGTGGATGAGAAGCTCACCATGAGCTGCAGTGTGCACTAGCAGCCCAGAAAGCCAATGGAATCCTGGGCTGCATCAAAGGGAGTGTGGGCAGCAGGTCAAAAGAGGTGATTCTTCCCCTCTACTCTGCTCTCATGAGACCCCACCTGGAATACTGTGTGCAGTTCTCGTGTCCTCAGCATAAGGACATGGAGCAAGTCCAGAGGAGGCCTCAAAGTTGGTAAGAGGACTGGAGCACCTCCCCT